CTCATGAATAAACCAGACCAAATTGACGAACAATTTTTTAGTTAGACAAAGAAACTAAACTAAAACAATTTGATCCGACCAAATAACCATTCTAAAAATAAAAGAAATGAGTAGAGGAAGAAAAATAAAAAAGAATTAGAAAAACTAAAATTAGGACACCTACCTCCAAATGATCGAACCCCATCTTGAATTAGATCTTAAATTTTGAATATGAACCCGGAATAGACCTTAATCGAGTGTTCTCGACTGAGAACACACAACTAAGGTCGATTTCGACCTCAAATCCTCCAATATCTAACCGATTTGGAGTTTGGGATTTTAGGGTTTTTTTTTCGATTCGAACAGTTATGGTGTCATTCGAAGGGTGTGAAGTGGGGATTTGGAAAGAGGGTAGTGAGATGGTTCTGGGGTATCGATTTGGGGTTGGTTGGGTAAGCTATGGTTCGGGGTCAAATCTTCGATCCAAGATTCGAAGAGTTACGGGGTGATTCGAGGAAAAGGGAGTGGGGATTTGGCATGAGGGGAGTGAGGAGGTTCTACGGTGTAATTTTGAAAGGGATTGGACCACCGAAACCGCCGTGAGGCGATTTCTGGTGGGCGGATGGCGGTGGTGTGAGGCGGCGTTGCATTGGGTCTCTGAAGAGATGAGAGACGAAGGAGGGGGGTTCTGAGAGGGGTAAAGGGGTTTTGATTTTGGGTATATTAAAATGGGTGATTAAATCGGGCCGTTGGATAAATGGAATCCAACGGCTTAGATTAGCTCATTAAATGCAACGGGGTCGTTTTGGTTTCATGGGGGGGGCAGACCGGTTCAGGGGCGGGTAATGGAAATGGGGTGAAGTTCTGGTCGTTGGATGCAGATGAATAGACGGTTGAGATCTATTGAAATCAAAACAACGTAGTTTTGTCCCTATACTACGTCGATTCGATGGTTTCAGAGACTGGAAGTTTGGATCGGGTATGGGGCATATTTTTGGGCTGGGTTAATTGATTTGGGCTCAGGATTTAAATTAAAACACAGCCCAACTGATTCTCTTCTTCTTTTATTTCCTTTTCCTTCTCTATTTTTCAAAAATTAAAACTAAAATCCTAATTAAATTAAAAAAAATCCGAATTAACTTTAAGAATATTAATTAACTCTAAGTAATAATTATCACAAATAATTAAATATTAGATTAAAAGCAAATCACACATTCGACTAAAAACACACACATATGTTATTTTGTGAATTTTTATTTTTGTAAAACCTAATTATTAATAAATTCCAGAAAATGTAAAAATCAAATCTTAAATGCAAATGCTATATTTTTGTATTTTTAATGCATTAATAAAATTAAACATGCACACAAATATATGCAAACAATCAGGAAAATCACACAATAATTCCTAAAATAACACACAATTAAAGACAAGACCTAATTTTGGGAATTATTTTGGAGTAATTCGTATGAGGCAAAAATCACGTGCTCACAACATGCTGGAGGAATATCTCCACAACTTTGCAACCGGATCACAGAAGCATTGGGTGAAGCTCTTGGATGTTGCTCAACTGTGTTTCAATTCTCAAAAGAGCCATCATACAAACAAAAGCCCTTTTGAAATTGTTACCGGACAGCAACCGCTTCTCCCGCAAACGGTGAATGCATCAACCGTGCCGAAATCTCCTCGAGCTGCCAACTTCTCGAGCGAATGGGAGCGCAACATGGGGATAGTGTGGGGCTATCTCGTCAAAGCCCAAGAGCGGGCAAAAAGATTCACCGAACAAAATCTTTGCTTTGCCCAACATCAAACAGTGGACAAAGTAATGCTATGCATCCCAAAGCGATACTTGTTTGCAGAGAGGACCCATGACCCTCGCCTGTAACAAAAATACATCGGGCCTCTACCCATTGAAAAATGCATTGGGAAGTCCACATACCAGGTGTAAACCCCATCCTGGTGGAAGATCCATCTAGTCTTCCATGTCAGCCGCATGAAATCATTGCATCGCTACAACAGCAAGTTCAAAGAACAGAGGGGCGCAAACCTCCCATCCAACAACCACCAGAATCATCATCATCATCATCATCATCATAAGGCTCCGAGGACGGCTCCAACTCAGGTGGGGGAGAATGCCATGGGCTGCTTTCCAGACACGCCCCATGACCCCTTGGTCGCGCCCCATGGCGGCCTAGCAAACCTCACAATGCCTAGCGCCATGGTCGGCCCCGTGGTCTTGGCTGCGCCAAGTGACAAGCGTGCATGCGCCTCTGTCGCCCCACCGAAGCCTCTCGCCAGCACCCAATGGCTGGCCAATGACAACAGCGCGCCCTGACAATGCTGCGCACGCAGATCCTGATGCCTCGCCAGCGCCCAGCTGAAGGCCATTCCAACAGCGCCTCACGCACAGACCCTGATGCCAAGCACCAGCGTCAGCCTCAGGAAAACACAACAAGTGTCGCGCGCACCAACAGCACCGCGCGCGCAGACCCTGACCTGCAAGACAAAGTTGCTTCCATCGGACTTGTTTCTACATTGTAATAAACTAAGTCCTTTTCATTATAATTATAGGCTAGTTTACATCATTTTCATTCAGTGTGCTTCTACAGCTTTATTAGGACAAGTCATGTAATTGTGGTTTATTTTTTTTAAGCATTATTAGGGGAGATCAAGCAATCAAACATTTTCAAACAAGCAATTTTCTGTACTGGTGTCTCTCCCCCTCGACACCACATCTTTTGGAATCAGCATTTCATTCATCAATAAAATCATCATCATCATTCAAAACCCAATTCTCTCTCAACTTCCGCAATTGCTCGTGACATTGATTTTCCCGCACGGCACTGACAATCTAGTCTAGCATGTGGAGGGGACCTCATTGGCGAACAGCAACCGCACTGACATTGGTTCCTTAGCCTTACGTTGCCCTTCCAAAGAACATTAGGAAGGCGTTGCGTAACAGACCTCATGTAACTTTTCTTTACTTTCTCTAAGTTATCTTATGAAGTGGGAAAAATGTTCTGGTTTACTTCACAAGTCGTAATTTAAATTTCTACCACATCACTTAAACACCGTCATCAATACAACATTCATATTAGATAGGTTATCTTCACATACAGTATGCTATACCGCAACAATTAAATGTGTGGGATAATACTCTTTTGATGAGGAGGGGCCACAAAAGCATATATGGACCAAGAGTTAACATAGACTCACAAATGACACATGGAAGAGTCATATTTTTTTCAGATTTCAAATGCTAAAATTTGACTTATTAGGAAGGAGATGAATGCATATCAATATAAATACTTAGAATAGCGTCATGTCAGATGCGGAGTTAGGATTTAAATCTTATATTTTTGAATTTTAGAACGACAATTCAAGCTCTAATGACTGTGTTCTAATTCTAATATTTATACATATTTAATAAATTATTAGCACAAAATACAATATTTGAGCAAAAGTTACTGAGTTCGGCAACTTCTGCCACAGCTCTTGGTCAGGGTTGGATAAGACAGCAATAAGGTGACAATAATAGACAGTACTAGATACCCCCCTCGTGTACAAAACTACTCCGCACACTCTGCGTTTTGAAATAGAGACAAGGCACTATTTTGTTTCCCTTCCCTAAGCATCAATCATATTTCTCATCTGTTATATAAGTGGCCTTTTCCTCCCTGTAGAGGTAGAGCCTCACCTGTTTTTGCAGACTCCTTTTTCGGTTTATAGGACAAAGGCGAGAAAATTGTACACAAAGGATAACTTGTAATGTTCTATAGTTTTCATGGGGTTTCTGTCTCAGTTCTTTTTAACATCAACATCCTAGAATAATTGGATATCACTATCCAAGTTCATGGCACGTATTGTCCGTTTTGTCCAACTGACCTCGCCGATGTGTCTCTTAAAGTACGCTATTATCGAGTCCAAAGAATACGTACCATGTGAATTAGTGTTATGCTTTATAATCCTCTCTCATTATATTCTAACATGGAATTTGTCTAAGGTGATATATGCACGTCTTTTTCAGAAGCTTACTACCCTTGCTCGACCCCCCTCATCGGCCCTTCCTGCTTATGGGCGTCATAATTGATTGCCTCGTTATTAGTTTTATCTGAACAGTTTTTGTACCATTGCAAAATTTTGACCCACCCTTTTAGGAGAAATTCAAAAATAGCCAGATTTACAAGTGGTCATTCAAAAATAGTCGTAGTTTCAAAGGTAATCGAAATTTAGCCACTTTTCATGTAAAGATAAATCTGAACGAAAATACTGTTCAAAATCCGAAAAAATACTCCAGCATCTTAGACTGGAGTTCCAGTATAATATACCGGTCCAGCATAATATACTGGAGCTCGGTGCACCTGTGTATGAACTTCCAGCATATTATGCTGGACCGCTATAATTTGTTGGTTCCAGTATAATATACCGGTCCAGCATAATATACTGGAGCTCGGTGCACCTGTGTATGAACTTCCAGCATATTATGCTGGACCGCTATAATTTGTTGGTTCCAGTATAATATACCGGTCCAGCATAATATACTGGAGTTTGGAGCACCGGTACTCCAGTCTCCAGTATATTATACTGGAACCAACAAATTATAGCGGTCCAGCATAATATGCTGGAAGTTCATACACAGGTGCACCGAGCTCCAGTATATTATGCTGGACCGGTCTATGTTGCAACAAAATAGTGACTATTGTTCAATGACTTGACAAACGCTGACTATTTTTGAATGACCAATCCAAAAAATGGCTAGACCGTGCTATTTTAACACCCTTTTATTTACCAGCTTCCCTCTGAATTACTCTTTATTAATGGGCTTTATTAAGGAAGCAAAAGCAAAGAGAAAAGTAAAACATAATGGGGTTATGATAAAATACTTTTACCTATGAACTAAAATATGATAATTAACTTAGGAAAGAAAATCACAGATGCTACAGCTGACGGTCAAGATTTTTAGAAAAAAGGGGGGAAGAATTGAATTGTCAATTTCCATTATTATATTCACCAAACAAAAAGAACAAAGCTAGATATGAAGGGAAAAAAAAAGGGTACAACAAAGAAAAAGAATCAGTATAATCGTTATTGGCTCACAACCAGTCCTATGTATCCGCGTTTGATGAGGTCACCATCACACAAATCAACGGCTCCTTATCAACATAGTTAGAATCAGGAAGCACAGGATTGCCACCACATCCCGTGCACGTGAGCACCTTTGCTCTCATAGCTTGACAATCCCAGTTGGTGGTCCCTACCACATACAACATCAGCCCAGCACAGCAAACCTGGGCCGCAAGTAACCCGACCCAAAGTCCAACAAAACCCAATCCTATCCAGAATCCAAGCCCAACCGCCACCGGCATTCCCACTAGATAGAATGCACCAAGGTTCACATTCGCCGCCGTGGTTGGCCGCGCAGTCCCCCGCACAACTCCGCATCCTACGGTTTGCGGACAGTTACCGAGCTCGCACAATCCTAGTATGGGTAAAACCGTCGACGTCAATTCTATAATCCGTACATCGTAAGTAAACATTTTAGCCCATGAATTTCTCATTGTAGTTGCAAAAACCATAGCTGATAAGCCCATCAAACCCGCTAAGAAGATTGACACCGTAGCAGATAGTCGGGCCTTGTCGGGTCGGTTTGCACCAAGTTCATTACCGACCCGAGTGGACACCGCGAAACTAAGAGAAGAGGGAAATACATAGAGGAAAGCGGTGGTTTGGATCAAAATACCCATGGATGCCACGGTGGCTTTGGGGTCCACAAGTAGTCCACACAACAATATCATGATCTCGTACCACCACCACTCTAGGCAAACCGAAACACAACTCGGTGCGGCTAATCGAACCAGCGGCATCCACCCGGTCAAGCACTCAAGGCTAGGTTTGGTCCATGTCGGCTTGTCGTGTACGACGTAAAAAACAAGTGCAACAAGCGCCGCCACGTTCGACGTGGCGGAGGCAATCGCAACGCCTGCTACACCGAGTTGAAGCAAAGAGACAAGCAAATAATTAAGCGGCAAATGTAAAACTGTGCCCGCTAAGGAAGCTAACGTGAGCGGGTACGTAATACCTTGAGCTCGAAGGTAAATACGTATAGGGTGAAAAAGGGAATTAGTAATAAGATCAGGGAGTGAAAAAACAAGATAAGTATGAGCTAAACGGGTGATATTGGGGTCTTGGTGTAAATAAAGTAAAATATGGGAAATGTTGACCCAAAGGAATGTAATGGGCAAACAACAAGAGAGAAGGAAAACAACGGACCTTTGTAGAGTTAAAGACAAAAGCTTAGGACGTTGAGCACCAAAAGCTTGAGAACAAAGAGGTTCCATACCTAAAGCAAGACCAGAGAGTACTGAATAACCAGTAATATTAGCAAATGCAATAGCTAAAGAACCAGCGGCTAACTCAGTATCACCGAGATGGCCAAGAAAAAGCATAGAAAGAATGGAGCGAGAGTAAAAGGTTAAGGCAGTGAGTGCTATAGGGAAAGCAAGCTTGAAAACTTCTCTGCTTTCTTGGATGATTTGTGATGCTGTTATTTTTTCATGAATTTGTTTGGGATTTTCTTGGGGTAGTGATAAAAGATCAATGAATAAGTGGGTTTGAGTAGATTTTTGTGATGATATTGATGGTTTTTGATCAATCTTAGAGATAGTGGTGAAGTTATGAGTGGTGTTTGAATTGCACATAGCTACTTCAAAAAAAGAGTAAACAGAGGAATCTTTGTTAGCAGGTTTTCGGAAATTTCTTTTCCTATAGGTTTTCTTTGTTTTAGTATGTGAGAATTCCTGAGAGAGAGATACTGCTTTAGTTAATATCTCTGAACGGATTGGTTTGGTTTTAGGGGTGAAGAGAGGATTGAACAAATATTAATAAGGGTTATTGAGAGTGGGGTTTTAATTTTTTGTTTTCTCTTTATTTTATTAGCCATTTTCTTTGTATCTTTTAATTCTTTAAATGTACTACATCCGTCTAAAAATAGAAGTCTCAAATTATCTGTTATTTTAGAAATTTAAGACAAAACTAATTTTTTTTCACTTTACCATTAGTAGTAATTGTTCTTGAAAATGGAGGTCACATATATAGAGTACATATTCAATGAATAGAGGTTATTTTTTAAGGCTTAATTAATATTTTTTAAGAAATATGTACAAGAAATACGGCAAATAATTTGAGACGGTGCCAAATATAATGCTTTTGTAGTGCTATTATTATAGTTTTTTTTTTTCGTCTTTATATTGGAATTATAATTTAAGGGTAAAAAGGGTCTTTTGGTTTTTAATTGCTTTTGTGTGGTTTGAAGAAAGTATGTCAGAACTCCTATTTCCAATATTGTATAGGGTGTGGGTTATATTTCTCATTTACGAGAGAGATTGGTTGTGATATTTTTTTTTGCCTTCGGATGTGATCACCAGTCCCAGTAGTCCAGTTTTCAGCAGCTCAATGCAATGAAATCATGGAATTCTATTGCAACATATATGAACAACTGCCTCTTAGATCAGCAATATAATGATCAGACCACTCTCTTTGTCATGCATGGGATGGCGCACCTTCATTTCTTTATTTGTTTTTCTTTTGCCTTTATTCCATGATATTTTCTACAATCGTGGTGTTTGTATTCACTTGTTGGAATTGACTTGCGCGTAATTCAATTAATTTTAGGCATGATCAAATGAAACTAAGATTTGAACCTTATTGATTCGAAGTTTTAATTTTTTTAAGTTATTCGGTTCTAAATTAATAATTTATACATATATATTCATTGAATTTCTTAATACAACTACAAGTTTTGAACAAAAGCTACTGGGTCCGCCGAACCCGTAACCAACACAGTGGCTCTGCCCCTGCCTTCAGGGACGGAACCACCTGCTGCCAAGGGGATTCACTTGATACCCCTTGATTGAAAATTATATTGTGTATAGTATAAAAATAGTTTTTTTTGTTTGTATATAGGCTATTGAATTCCCTTAATATGAGAAAAATTCTGGTTTAATGATAAAAGGGGTTCAAAAATTAGTTTGAGTCCTAGATTCAAATACTAAGATGTCGTTTTTGTAATTTTGATTCAAATTCGTGACTCGGCTACTAATGATCCTAATGTTATTTCCACAAGAGTAATTAAGTTCCAATGTTTTACATACACGAGGAAAAGAAAAAAAAAAGACAAAAGAAAGAGGGATATCAACCTTTATTAAGATCCCAAGAAGCTATTGCTCATCTTAGGACTAGTTTCCAGTCAATTATTTCTAGATGACTAGACCCTTTTAATTGCATTATTGATCACAAAATAGAAGACAATTGCTACATCTCTATTAAGATATCAAACAAACACTAATCCATTTGACTGGTTTACGTTTGTTATTTTAACTTCCCAAGGATCAAAACTCATTAATGCTTATTCAATTGACATTTATTTGTTGTTTACTTTGTAGTAATTTGCTAGGACCTGAGGTAACTGAAGATCTCACCATCCACATATCTGTTGGAATTTTGTTTTTTAATTTCTCTTTTTCGTTTACACCTGTGTGGGGTTTTCTTGGTTCAACATGGAAATTTTGTTAAATATATTTTCCCAATATCCACGACACCTATTCAATTTTAATTAGAAGCTGACCAAAGTGAAGAATGAAGAGTACCCAATCAACATCTTCCTCTGATATTTGTTTTCTAAATCTGGAGATACATTAGAATAAAATTTCTACACTTGTACTTGAGAACCTGTTAAACTAGGTGATTTGATTATGGTACAAACACGCCCAGTACCCAATCTAATGTCGCACTTAAAATTTAACCATAAATTTTCCATTCAAGCTGGATTTATTTCTGTTGTTTGCTGCATAATTACATTCAACACTACGAAAATCCAAATAAGTCCTGAATGTTACCGATAGTGTGATTCAAGCTCAAGTTACAAGTGTCATTAATATTTCTCCTGAAATACTCTTTAAAACATGAGTTTTTTACAATTACAAAATCTTTATTGCAAGTTAAAGTTGATATAATAGATGAATTTAAACATTTATTTGCATATAATGAAACTAGTTGTAAATAGTATGTATGTATGTCCAAACGCTAACTAAAGATGTTGTATGAATGCTTTCGATATATTATGATTTCTTTAAACTGGAAGGATAAGAAAATGGTTCTATGTATATGCTCAATGATAATTGAGCAAGAGACTTGACAAGGAGGTCGCCCAAGGCGAGCAGCAGCAGTTGGACCAATGGGTCATCGCCTGGTGAATGCCAAGCCCACCAAGATCCAAGTAGATGGACAAGATCGGCCTTTAATCCGTTAAATTAAAGAGAAATGTATATTTTTAGACGCCCAAAAAAATAATAATCGACTATATATATATATGTTGTATGTATGTGTATTATATACATATTTTATTTACTTTTTGGCTAGTGAATACTATTAGGTTAGGTGGACCCACCAGTTTTGTATTTTGCCATAAAATAAACCCGATGGCACATTTACACAAATATCTATTTTTAGGCCAAGGTTTAATTTTATTCCTATTCTATAATTGTGCAAATATAAACCTTAATTTAGACATAATTATTGATTGGGATAGAGCTTATATTGTGGTCGTCTTTTGTGAGTAAATATAATTAAGTTTGTGGTGGCTATAAATGTGAAAGCCACTGGTAGCTTGTGACCAAGTAAACATGGAGAGTACTAGAACCCCATGTGAGTTAAGAGGAATGGATGTAGGCTTAACATTTGAATTTAATCAATATAAGAAGATTATCGTGTTCATTTTACACCTAATTTTATTTTTTATATGTTGTAATATATGCATCCCCATCTCAAATCATTCAACACTGCACTCACTAATCTTCAAAAAGGACTAATCTTCAAAAAGGATTCTAGTAATCAAGATTTGAACAGATTTTGTTCAAAAAGTTTTCTTTCGATTGAAATCCTTTTTTCAAAAAAGTGATCAAAACAATTTAAATCGAATAAATTGCAATTCGTCGTCTTCCTATACTTTAAAATTTGAGAAACTATAATCATTATTTATCCCAAAATTAGTTCAATTTATCTTTACTCAAATAACTTTAGACAAATGAACCCAAAACTCATTTATAGGCTAATAGCCTATTTGACCAAGCTTCTCCATCCAAGAAGCACTTTTTTTTTCTCCAAAAAAAAGTATTTTTTTCCAAAGTTAATGTGTTTGGCCAAATTTTTGGAAGAAAAAAATGTACTTTTGAGGAGAAGAGAAGCAGTTATGGAGAAGCAGAAGAAAATAGTTTTTTTCTGAAAGTAATTTTTTTTAAAAAGCACTTTTGAAAAAAATATACTTAAAACAGTTTTTAAAAGCTCGGTCAAATGCTAATTGATGCTCAAAAGTACTTTTTGAATTAATTAGTCAAACAAAACTAGAAAAATACTTTTCAGAAACACTCCTCACGTAAACCCATTTGACTCACCTAAGTTCAACCTACAAACGAAAAAAACAATCTTTTAAGAAAGAAAAAAAACGTGGTATTAATGCCAAATAGGAAGAAAACACGTGGATAACCTAACCTGGGGTTGGTGACAATACTATCAAATTTTGCAGAGAGATAAAGCTAGAAGCTTTAGATTGAGGAGGATTTAAGATGCAATAGTAGGAAAGCTAGAGTTGAGAGAGTAAACGAAGGTTATCTATTCTGAAAAAACATGGCGTATGTTGGAGCTCCTAACTTTGCTGCTACAAATGCGATTTATACAAAACAATCATTGCGGCGGATTAATGGAATTTCGCAACCCAAAAAGCTGCTATTTTCGCCTCTCCCTAACTATAAAATGCTGAGGATGACGATGAATCTGCAATCTAAGGCTTCTGATAAGGTTTATTTCTTCATCCTGTATCTGCTCCTTCTTTGCTGGCTCCTTTATTTGACATCTTACTATATAGTAATATAAAACATTTATATATTGATTAATTGAGATATTTAATTTTTAGTAACTTATAAGAAAGACAAAAAAACACATGGTTTCCTTTGTTTTCTGGATTTGGCATTGACATGGCCAATTTCATTAATAATTTTATAGTAAAGAATTATATCTGGACAAATATGGACCAACCACAAACTTGAAAAACCATAATTTAATTGACCAGTTACTTCAATTGGAAATAAATTTAATGAGCAAGTGGTCCTCTTTGGTTGGAATTATCATTTAAACGCATTCAACACTTTGTAGGTCAACCTTTTCCCCCCTTCTCTTTGTCTTTACGGAATTAATTTTCAATCATCATTTTCAGCATAATTATATAAGAAAGAATTACAAGAAAACATATATGATTCAACACCATAGCAAAAAATGGCCCATGTTTTTAAGTTTTATCCGGCCTAGCCTATATTGTACATATTTTGAAAGCACTAGCAAATTCAAAATCTGTGTTCTTACAACCAATACTTCTAAAAGCTATGGAGTTAAATTTGTTCTCGCAACCATTGCTTTCACTCTCTCTTCTTCTCACATCTTCTACATATGCTTCAATGGGTCGTCCGACATTACTGCTTCTCCCCCTGTGTCACCTGGTTACAATGTAAGAAAATTGAAGAGTAGAAATCCACTATTGAAGGACATTCAACGCTTTGAATTCAAAAATAGGATTTTTTGAGTTTGTTAGTTGTTTGGATTGGGTATTATTCCAATTGATTGAAAATATCAAAAAGAGTTCAAAATTTAAATTTGAAATGATTTGGAGTAAATTTGAGCAAGATTTAAGTTAAATTTCAAAAAAAAACGCAAGGAAGAAGACGAAGTCAGTTTTTTGTATAATTATGTATAATAGTGTATACGAGTGTATAAAGACATCTTATACACTATTATACATTTTTATACACTTTTATACAAGCGTCTGTAGACGAACTTCTTCCACGATTTTCTGTTGCAATTCTTGTTCAAAACCAGTCCAAATCTCCATTAAATGACTTTAAATTTTATATACAACATCCTTATACTATTTTTAACAAGTCTAAATAACGCCCACTTCATAATTCTCACAGAATCAAATTCGGAATTTAAACCTACATATTTAAGCTTGTTAAAAATCTAATTTTCACCACCCAAATGGATTTGGTTTGTTGAACTAATATTTGAGTCACAGTTACTGATTCGAAAATTAACTTAAAAGCTTGAGCAATCTTTTTTAAAAATGAAATAGTAATTTCGAGAATCTTATAGAATTGAATGTTGAGTATTAGCCTATTATTTTTTGGCTAGTTAGTTGTAAATTGATATATGAGCTATAAAATTAAAAAGTAGGAAACCCAGTTGTTCTTATGTGAAAATTTTCCATTATATAATGAAAAATTAACCCAAATAGCCGGTGAAGTTATAAATATATGCATAATTCTATCTTGTGCTTGTAGAGTCAGAATCTCAGATACTTGGGCTCTATCGATTATTTTTTGATTATTTTTACAGGATGAAGGTTCACCATGGGACGATAAGGGGTTATTGCAGAGTGAAGAATTGTATCAGGTACACATTTTTATTTCAGATTCTTTTTTTCCCCCTCCCTTTTTTTTTTCAATACTAATTATCATTTCTTTTGAAATGCTGCCAGTATGTTTTGGAGACTAGTGTTTATCCACGAGAACCAGAGTTTCTCAAAGAGATCAGGACTATAACAGCAAATCATCCAGAGTAATTTTCTTTTATGACTTTGTTTAATCATCTAATTGCTTCTTCACTGTCGTATTTCTTTATCATAATTGCTATGATTATGCTTTCATTGAGCCGAGAATCTATCGAAAACAACCTCTCTATCTTTACAAAGTAGGGATAAGGTCTGCGTACATACTACCCTCCCTACACCCCAATTGTGAGATTACACTGGATATGTTGTTGTTTACTCGTCGAAAACACTTAACAGGAAATGAATGCATGTATTTGATAAGTTAAGCTTCATTGGAAAACTGAATTGATCAAACTCAAGTAATTAGTTAGCTGCCTTAATCTGTTCGTACGTGCAGAACTTACATGTAAAATAATAGGAATTATTTCTTTAAGTTAAAGGAAGTTGGTGTATAAATCACACACACTTATTCGTTACAAAATTATAATGCTTCTTATTTCTCCAGGTTTTATATGGGAGCACAACCGGATTCAGGTCAACTTATAGCCATGCTCTTGAATCTAATAAATGCCAAAAGGACTATTGAAATCGGCGTCTTCACTGGATATTCTGTGCTTCTCACTGCTCTTACAATTCCTGATGATGGCAAGGTTAGTATTGCTGTTAACTCATCACTAAATAGCCCCAAGTAATCTTCACACATATGTACAAAAATTGACAAATGTGTTAAATTGCAGATTATAGCAATAGATCCAGATCGACAGTCTTATGAATTGGGACTACCAGTCATCCAAAAAGCTGGAGTTGAACATAAAATCGATTTCAAAGATTCTCCAGCTTTACCTGTTCTTGACAAACTCCTGGAAGATGTGAGAAAAACAATTAACTCATAATCTCAAACTATGTCGTGTATGCTTTAATGTGATTTTCTTTTCCCTGATTCATTGCAGAACGAAAACAAAGATAGTTTTGACTTTGCATTTGTTGATGCGGATAAAACTAATTATGGAAACTATCACGAGAGACTAATGCAGTTGGTGAAAGTTGGAGGTGTGATAGTGTATGATAACACACTATGGTATGGAACACTTGTAATACCAGAAGAAAAGGTTGATGAGTTGATGAGAACAGAAAGGAAATACTTTCTAGAGTTAAACAGATTCCTTGCTGCTGATACTCGCATTCAAATTTCTCAAGTTACTGTAGGTGATGGAATGACCATCTGCAGGAGACTATTTTGATGAATACTACAGCTTTTTTATCCATATAAGTACTCAGTTTTTCTGTTACTTTTTTAATAAATTAAAAAATTCAAAACATGGTTCTCTCCATAGTCGAGGCTCTAGCGGAAACAGTCTCTCCATCTTCATAAGATAAAGGTAAGGTCTGCGTACATAATACCCTCCTCAGACCCCATTTGTCGGATTCCACTGGGTTTATTATTGTTGTGTGGTTCTCTGTCCATTTAACTCTTTAAATTGCCGAAAAAATCTTATCTTGCAAGCTGCTGCTCTTCCAAATTATTTGCTCTAAATTGAGGATCATGGCAAAAAAAAAAAAAAGGTATTTTGGGAGGAAAAAAATAGAATATGGGATGAAAGTTAACACTTGTTTCGATCCTTGGAAGATGAAAAATGGTAGAAAAATAATTTTCTTCTGCCTGATTGAGGGAAAACAGGGTGGAAAAGTAAACAAATAGAAGTTGTAATTTATTTTGACAAGAGAAATAGTTTTCAGTTAGTTGGTGTTCTAGTTAGCGAGAGCCTCTCACTTTTATTTTATGAATCAGTAATGCTAATACAATTCATATGAATAAATGAGAAATTGCATCGATCCACTTGGGATTGGGACGCAAAGAAAGGTATGTTTTCGAAGGAAAGGAAATAAAATATGAAATGAGGGTTAAACCTTGTTTAGATACTAGAAGAAAAAATTTATACTTCTGTTTTATTTGTTATTCCAAAGTAGCATGCCCACGGTGTTTTTTTTCTTCTTCAAAATGTGTGATTTTGGATGAAAATTTCCTATAGTGTGTAATTTTCTGAGAATTTTAGAAATATATAAAACACATATGTAAAATGCGATTTATATTTGTTTAAGTTAGCTGAGGCAACAAACGCTTTGAGAAATATCATTAGCTTAATTCGCATTTTGAAAATATAATTTATAAATCCCATTTCAAAAATGTAACTTATAAAATTTTGAGATTCACTTTATAAATCACCAACATAAATATAAAATCCTATGCAAGTATTGTATATTTTTAATACTAACAAGGAAACCAACATAAATAAGGTAGAGTGGGTCAAGACAGAAATATCTTTCTATTTGTCTTTTGAGGTACTTTTGTATGCCAAAAAGTCTGGAAACTAATAATTGACACCATTATTTGTTATAATATTTTGTGAATTTTGCAAATAGCCTAAATTCAATTTATATGACATAGTTTGAATGGACATAAAATTTAAGAAAGAAATAAATATTTTTAAAACTTGTGGTATTAAATAAAATATTTATGTGGTTATGAAACTTTCGAAACTTCTGACCTTAGACTTTTGAAAAGCTTCCCATTAAAAGTATAATAAGAAATGTAAAATTAATTATTTTTAAATATAAGAATGTGACATTAATGCATTTTAAATTAATTGACCATTTATTTTATCGTTCAAGAATAATTATTTTTCAAACAAGATAAAGGGAATAGTAATTGTATTTAATGCGATATATATCATATCATACAACAACAACCCAGTATAATCCTACTAGTGGGGTCTGGGGAGGGTAGTGTGTATGCAGACCTTATCATATCATACTATATTTTAAGTGGGAAGCCTCTAAGTCAAGGTTGAATTACTAAAATGTCCATAAAAAATTATTGGACTTTTATACCCTTAGTAAATAAATAATTTCTTATTACAATCTTTAGTAGTTAAACTATTGTATAAAAAGGTAAAAATATTTCATCATAAATATCTTTTATCATGTTAATAGTAATTAATTAAATACTATATTATAAGTGGGAAGCCTCTAAGTCAAGGTTGACTTACTAAAACGTCCATAAAAAATTATTGAACTTTTATACCCTTAGTAAATAAATAAATAATTTCTTATTACAATCTTTAGTAGTTAAACTATTGTATAAAAAGGAAAAAATATTTCTATCATAAATATCCTTTATCATGTTAATAGTAATCAATAGTTCATTCAACAATAAAATACGTACAATGTACAAAGTTTTGAGAATGAATCTGTTAAGAATTTATAGTTGGAGATTACGAAATATTAATGTGGCAATTAATAGTTTTATTTCATTTTAAACACAAGAAATACAGGAGGAACGAAGGGGCAGAGGTTACATTGGTGAAAAAGGAATAGGAAAAGCCAATGATTGGTTAAATAAACTTGTGGATTTATAGCCTTCTTTCGTTGGAGTCATTCCCGTTAATTTGGCATTAACATTCTGAAATTCTTCCTTTTGCTGGTTTAGATTTTTTTGCACTTAGATTGATGTGCTCCAAAGTCAAATAAGCACTTTGCGATCTTTTATGGAAAGCAAAATCCATGGTGCTAAGTATTCTCTTCACGCAATTAGGGAGTTTGACTTTCAAATGCTGCTATTTCATTTCACATCACTGAAGATTTTGTGTAAACATATTTCATCATTTTACTTTCTCATTCAAATATTGCAGTGTACTTTATATTAAAAGAGCATATAAATTGGGATGGAAGGTGGTCTCCATCAAGATATTTGGGAAGAAGGAAGATGAACAATTTTCGCTGGTCTTTTTTAATTTTTATTTAAGATCAACTAGATTTCAACAGAGATAATCATGAGGAGCATCGTTTATAAGAAATTATTAAATTAGATATAACCAATAACATTTATGTACTTAATAAAATAATAAAAATATAACTACAAATAACATTTTGTATATGTTAAGCCATTAAAATCGAAGGAAATTGACAGATTGTAGTTAGGGTTTTGTGAAATGTAAAGAGGAAGAGAAACGGGAGAAAAGAACTTGCATTCTGTGCTCAAAAATCTGACCAAAACTCATCTGGAATGTTCTTTGCCTCTCTTATATATTTTGGGCCTTATTTACAACTCAATGAATAAAACTAAGACTAAGGCTCTACAACAGTTCATAAATAAACTGGGCCAGGCCCAAATGCACTTCATGTAACTCCAACACCCCCCTCAAGTAGGAAGGTGGGCACACACCCAACTTACCAATTAAAGCACGATGTTGCAGACCTGCCAAAGACTTGGTAAAAATGTCGGCCAATTGTGAACAAGTACGAATATAAGATAAAGAAATAAGCCCATCAGCTAACTTAGTACGAATAAAATGGCAATCGACCTCGATGTGTTTGGTACGCTCATAAAACATCGGGTTCTTTGCAATGTGAATCGCAGCTTGGTTGTCACAAAGAACTAGGACTGAATGTAACGACCCGACCAATCGTTTTGAGCCTTTGCACTTCGCTCGCCAGTTCTCGGGCATGTCTAGCCCCGTGTGATGTATTATGACTTATGCAAATCGTCGGTTTTGGTTTTCAGGGTAATCGGAATAGATTTGGAAGGACAGTTCTCAGTTTGAAGCTTAAAATTTCAAAGGTTTGACCAAGTCTTGGGTTGTTAGTATATGATCTCGGATTTAAATTTTTATGATTCGGTTAGCTCCGTTAGGTGATTTGGGACTTAGGTGCGTGATCGGAAAGTGTTTTGGAGGTCCAGAGCGGGTTTAGACTTGATTTGGTTGGAATTTTGGCGTTTTCCGGTTAATATGTGAGATTTTGATATAGAGGTCGGAATGGAATTCCGGAAGTTGGAGTAGGGCCGTTGTGCCAATTGTCACGTGTGTACAAAATTTCAGGTCATTCGGACGAGGTTTGATAGACTCTTTTGATAAAAGGCGGAATTCGGAAGATTTTGGAACCTTAGGCTTGAATCCGATGTTATTTGGTTGATTCGATATTGGTTGATGTGTTTTGAAGATTGGTATAAGTTTGGATAGTGGTATATGACTTGTTTGTACTTTTGGCTGAGGTCCCGGGGGCCTCGGGGTGATTTTGGATGGTCGACGAGAAATTTGGAGTTTGGGATTTGCAGTTGGAGCTGTTGAACCACTGTCATAACCGCATTTGCGGCTTGGGGACTGCAGGTGCGGGACCGCAGAAGCGGAAGGCTAGCCGCAGATGCGGAAGTTGGTGCGAAGGGCTAAAGCGCAAGTGAGATGATTTGGTCGCACTTGCGAGACCGCAGGTGCGGAAGGTGAGATCGCAGGTATGGAAGGTGGGGTGCAGGTGCGGACTTCTGGTTTTAAGTGAAAACCGCAGATGCAGTGCTTTGGACGCAGATGCGGTACCGCAAGTGTGGTGTACGGACCGCAAGTGCGAAAGGCCTGGGTCAGAAAGTATAAAAGGATCCCTTCGCGAATTTTTGGTTATTTCACCATTTTTTAAGACGGCTTTGGAGCTTTTTGGGAGATTTTGAAGAGAGAATTCAAGGGAACTTCGTTGAGGTAAGATTGTTGAACCAAAAACTCGTTCCTATGGTGTTATTTCATTGATTAAGCTTGAAATTTATGGAAATATGTGGGTAGATATTGAAGAAACTAGGGATTGGGATTGGAGACCTTTGATTAGGAATTTGAGAGGTCAGTTGTTGTCGAATTTTGGCATTCTTGGTATGTATGGACTCATGGGAAGATAAGGAGTTTATTGATGTAATTTTTATTGGATTCCGATACGTGGGCCCGGGGGTCGGGTTTGGTCAATTTCGGGATTTGTGTTGTAATTTGATAATTTTCGCATGGGCTTTGTTCCTTTAGCATATTTTGACGTCACGAATCTATTTTTGGATAGATTTGGAGCATCCAGTGGCCTATTCGAGAGGCAAAGGTATCAAAGTCTAGAGTTTGGACCGGATAGAGATAAGTAATGATTGTAAATATTTGTCCTGAGGGTATGAAACCCCGGATTTTACATCGTTGTGCTACTTTGAGGTGACGCACACGCTAGATGATGAGCGTGGGGTCGTGCACCATTGGGGATTGTGATTTAGTCCGTCCCGTATGAATGTTAAGTCGCGTATTTGATTGAAAACTGTTTGATATCATTGTGTTTTGGAAATTATTACCATGCTTTGGGCTGAATGCCATATTTGGGCTTCGTGCCAATTGTTTTGAACCCTTAGGGGATTTTTACTACTATTCCTCACTGTTTTGACTTTATATTTGTGCTCAGTCATGCTGTATTCTACTGTTTTCATAACTTAGTCATATTTACTCTGTTTTTTATATTTTAAATAATATTT